TTCTCTACCCCTTACTTCTTATATGCACATTGCCAGGCCCTTTTCCCCTTGATTCCTCTCCTGTTTGCACTGTTATCAAAGGAAATGTAACAAGCACTGATGGTAAATATACTTGGGGAGATAACTTGCCCTGACATAAACTCTGATAGGATTAAACCTGTGTACTTTTTGTTAACTAGCTTAGTGGAGCAGAGGTGCCTGGGTCCCTGAAAACCGGGAATCAGCACCTCCCATCAGAGGCAGCATTAGGCCACTGCCCCTCGTCAGGAAAGACCTTGCTCTCCCTCCCTGACTGCCACTCCCTTCCAAGCAAGGCCCTTCATGTGGTAAGGAGTGGAAATGCCATCCAGTCCCCTGAAAATGGTTCTTAGTTTAAAAAAGAAAAGAAGCTTTGTACCTATATACCTACGCTGTATGGATAATATGTTCTAGAAACTAAAACATCTTGTCCACACTGATACTACACAGGGAAGGCAGGCTGAATAAATAAATGTACGAAGATAGGTATCTATTTGGGAACACATGGCACTTAGTCGTAAATATATTCTTCTTTCGTTGGTATATTTTCCTTCCACTTTAACGCAGAATGGTAGTCCCCACCCTGCACAGCAGTGAAGTCTTGGAAAGTACCTCATGGCGGGAAACAGAGAATCCCCTTCCCTTTCCCTCCTTCCCGTGAGCTCTGATACCTCATCTGAAGTCACTTTTCCACCCTTAAATGACAGATCTCCCTTCCTCTTTCAAAGAGGGGACAATCTGAATGGGTTTGCCAGGTAAGACACAGCTTTAAAAGCTTTTAATGCACTAATTCATTTTGCAAAGAGAAGACAGTAATGATAGTTTAACATTTGTAACATTTTAATTCTTTCAGAATGCTTTTACATGCTGTTCTCTGTTGACCTCAATTTCTCAAAGTATGATACAAATAATTGCTGATGTTCATTGAGTGTCTATTATGTGCCAGGCTGTTTGCTGAATGCTGGACATATTTATCTGATTTAATACTCACTATTACCCCATCAGGCGTATATTATCAAGCCAGTCTTGCCTATAAAGAAACAACTGTAGTTTGGAAATAACTTGTCAGGTTTTTTAGCCAGTGGGGGAGTGGAGGCAGAATCTCAACTCAGAAAGTCAGTCTCCAGAATTTAAACTTTTTGAGAGAAAATGATAGACAGAAGTAGCAAATTAGATGGCGATGAATTTGGGAGAAGGAGATGCCACAGGATGAAAGGCATTGAAGAACAAAAAGAAAATTTAAGAATTTGAAAACACGTAGTATGAGATTTAAAAGAGCAAAGATGCAACCAGGACATCTATAAACAGAACACTTCTCTTTTTGAATCTATTCATATTTTCAGCCCACCTTCTGCTGCCCTTACTCTCTTCTTGAAAACCTTACCTGCTAAGTAGTGTGTGTAACCGGTTTGGTTAGTTGCACAGAGAAATTAGAAGCTAAAGGAAAAGAAAGATGGGAAGTTTCTGCCTTTGACATGAGCTGTCTTACTACTTCCTTTCCCTTCCTCCCAATCTGGAAAGTCCTCCTGCTTTTTGGGAGTCTGGTGCTTGACTTCTACTTGGAAGGTCAAGCTTGCCTGCTTGGGCAACCTCTGGTTCCAACCAAGTTCCCTTCTCTGACTCCCAACAAACCCACACTACATCCCTGCAAATATTCCACCTCTATACGAATAATGTTGACAAGAGTCTTTTGAATAGACTGCTATTTGTGTTGAATTACTGTTCAATTATAAAGGACATCTAGTTTATTAATCACAGTATCAGAGTGACTGCTGCCCATTGTATATTAATTATTGCTCCTATGGCCCGGCCCCGTGCTGTGATTATTTGCAAGTTAATGAATCCCAAACATCTTCTTTTATTTAAAGAATAGACAGGGAGAGTGACAAGAGCCTACTCAGGGGCAGAATCCTGACTTTGACCCCCTTAGAAAATAAATGACCATAGACAAGCCACTTAACCTTTTCCAACCTCAGATTTGCCATGTATTCAATGGCACCATTTTCTCCTCCCAGGGATCATATCTAGTGAGTCAAAGAAAATACATGGAAGTCCTCTGTGAATCTAGGATTTTGTTTAGACCACAAATCTGTGTTTTTCTCTCTATTCCAATCCATACGTGTTACTGAACAAAATAAGCTAGTGTTGACAATACCATCCTATTCTTTGCCAAATCTTACCTGTAGCTGTTTCTGCTATTCAATTAAAGCTGTGTTGGGTGAACGCTCCAATGTCTATTTCAGGTCAGTTCTAGAAAAAGGGCAAAGGGTGGTGAGGATGGAGAAGCAAAAATAAAAAATCAGATTATGAAATAATCCACGTTAGGCTTGAGATGCCAGTCACTGGCTCTTCCATTCAGACTGGACTGATTCCCAGGAGTTCTATAGCTGGGAGAGAGAGCAGCTATTTTACCCCAAACTCCTCAATGCTTATTTTCAAAATGATGTTCTTTTTCTATTCATAGCTAAATAAGGAAGTCATCCGTCTTCCAAAAAACACCACTTTCACCTTCTCCTTCCTTCTTTCTTCCTCCGCTTCCTCCTCGTCCTCCTTCTTCTTCCCCTCCTCCTCCCCTTTAGTGATTATCCATTAACTAGAAATAGACGCTGAAGTGCAATTTACGCTCCACCCCATCTCCCCACTCGCCACCACCAGCTCACTTTATCCCCTGTCTCCCATAAAGTCAGAGGCACCAGCGAGGTTGGTTCCCTCCAGATTCCCCAAGGAACTGCACCTTCCTCATAAGGACCTTGGCTCACTCTTTTCTTCCATCCTAAAGCAATGAATTTCTCTGCCCTCTCCCTAGTTTTCGCGTGGAATCTTAATCCTACCTGGGTTGTAGGGCCTAGTTTAAAATCTCTTCCCTCTGTGACATCTTCTCCACCCACAGGTCTCCTCCACACTTCTGCAGACCCGCCTACTAGCACGGCTGTCCCTGGCACACCCTCTTTACAGCCCAGCCCTGGAAATGGCTCAGGTCATTCCTGGGCTCCAGAGCCTGCCCTGAGCAGCACCCTGCTTTCTCTCTGTGGCCATGAGAAAAGTGGGTGCTGGGACCCACTTTCACAAACCATCACAAACCACAGTGGACTGACTTTTGAGGGCTGTGTCCAAGAGGCGAGGCAGGACCCAGAACCGTGTGGCTCTGACCACTGAGCCGGGCTCACACAGCTGCTCTGTAAGGCGTGACTCTATCTGGTTTTTTTTTGTGGAATTAACTCGGTCAAAATGGAGGCAGCTCCACCTGAGAATCTATTGGAGAGAATCCCAGCTTGAACCCCCTTCTCCTTGGCCCTCATAGTAAGGGAAAAAAGGAAGGAGACATGCACTGACACTAATGCGGCAGCATACATGCCAGCACCAGCACCATGGAGGTAGACTTCTCATTGCATTGTTGCCAGGATCTGATGAGGTTAGTACTATTATAATCTTCATTTGTAGCTGAGGGAAACACAAGCTTAGAATAAATAATTTGTCCAATGTCCAATGTAAAGTTTGATTTGAACCCAGTCGTGGGTTCAAATTTGAACCCAAAGCCTGGGTTTATTTTAGCTAGTCTACACCAGTGGTTCTCAAAGTACACCACTCAGAGCAGTAGTGTCAGCATCTCCTGGGAATTTGTTAGAAACGTAAGTTCTTAGATCCCACCCAAGTCCTACTGCTTTTGAAATCCCTGCTGACAGTGATCTGGGCTGGCACGAGTCCTCCTGGCGGTGCACGCTCAAGTTTGAGTACTACTCTTCTACACTAAACCTCCTATGAGAAGACCCCCATAACAGCCTAGAATTGGTATTGACATAGGAATGTTCACAGATGCTGGTTACATGTGGACCTCTGACCAAGCCAGAGTCACACCTGACACTTCTGTGCCACCTGGTTCCTTGTCAGCACAGAGCTGGAGCTTTAAGTATGTCTGTAGATTTGGTGGGGAAGGGTGGGAAGTTTTTAAAAAGTGAAAAGAAAAAATTTTAATTCCTTCAAGTCTTTTTTTGATAAAACTTGTCACAGTCTGATCATTTTTGTTTTCTTTGCTTTATGCTTATGTTAACCAGCTGTACTGCCAGTTTGCACTGGTTAGTGTATTCTTGGTTATTCATTCCATCATTCAAAGATATTTGTTGGGTGACAAGGAGGTGACAGGCACAGTATGAGGTTCTTGTGTTTGAACAGTGAGTCAGAGACAAACCCAGCCAGCCTTCTCAGAGCCTACAGGAGACAGGCCATTCCCGAGAATTGTGAAAAGCACTGCCTGGGCATCAGATGAGGCACTTTGGGAAAACAGAGGGAGGCCCCTTTCCCAGATTATCAGTCAGGGAAGGCTTCTTGAGGAGGTGAGGGTGCAGCTGAAGACCTAAGGAGTAAATAGTACTTGGCCTGGTGAAGGGAGTGGAGTGGTGGCTGGTGACATGGAATAGTGCTCCGGCTGAGAGGTCCCCATGTGGGGAAACCTGGGGAAGACAGCAATCCTAGCATGGGAAGGACTGAGGCAAGTTCAGGGTGGCTGAAACCCTGAGTGTGGGGTGGTGCGTGAGGGGGATGAGGCCGCAGAGAAAGGCTGAGGGCAAACCTGACTGGCCAGGGTACAAAAGTTGAACTTTACCCTTAGGAAAATGGGAAAACATTTGAAGAGTGACATGAAAAAGCACAAACATTAACAAAGTCATTCCAATACATATATGGCCTTCTTCTAATATCATTTCTTGATCACTGTTGGATGTGGTAACGCTCCCTGTGGACCATGTGCAACTTGGGAGTCATGTTCCTTTCCCGTTTCCTCTGCCTTCTCCCCGAGGAGTCTGTGCAGTCTCCACCCCTCATCCTGCCCAGGTTCAGGAAGAACTCAGACTGCCTGTGAGCTGCTCCCAACCAGTCAGGCAGTGTGTTTGCTTGTGTGCACTGCTTTTATTGCCCCGTGTATAGAAGTAGGTCACCCTGTAGAGACTTGGTCTGCCTTCAGCATTTTCTTCTGCTCTTGGCTGCAGGGTGTGTGTCCTTGCTGGTGACGGTCCAGCACACAGAGCGCTATGTCACCCTGTTTGCCTCCGTCGTCCTCAAGTGTGACTACACCACCTCTGCCCAGCTCCAGGATGTGGTGGTGACATGGCGCTTCAAGTCCTTCTGCAAGGACCCCATCTTTGATTACTACTCTGCATGTGAGTACCCCCAGCCCACTCTCCCAGGGCTCCTCTGTGAAGTACTGCCCTTAGGGTGTAGGAATTATTTAGGATCACAAATTCTTACAGTAAGAAGAAGCCAGAAAGATCACTTAATGCAAACCCCTCATTTTATAGATAAACAAACAGGCCAGGTTGATGAAGTAACTTGTTCAGGGTCACACACTATTTACTTTAAAATTTATGACCCATAAATTTTAAAATGTTCTAAAATGATTTAGATTTAGGTCAGCTTAGACATTAAGTAAAAGCAGAGTGAGTTCTGGTTGCCCACCAGTGTGCTGAGGATGTAGCCCTGCCTCCCATGCCGCTCACCACCTAAGAATGCAGACAAGAAGACTCCTGCACTCCCCAGGATCCATCAGTGGTCACTTGTGAGCCTCCTGCCCCTGCCACATTCCCTTCTATAGCCAGCCTTCCTGATGGGTGGTCATTCCTCCGCCGACTAAACACTTTCGGCGATGGAGTGCCCTCTGGCCACAGGCAGCCCGTTCCTTGTTGGACATCTCTAAGTGCCGTGCAGCCAGGTCCTACCTCCCAGTAACAACTGTCGCACTCCCGTCAGTTCTGCTGAACCCAAAGCCTTTTCCTAGCCGCCCACCTCTGCCTCTTTCAAGGATCAAAAGAACCCAGATCCCCACCACCAGCCTGGAACAATGAACCTTTAGACATTTTGCAAACAGAAGTAGACAGCCTGTCTGAGCTTCCTGACATGAGGAAAAGGGGGGGGGGGGAGGCATCAGCTTTACCTTTTTCAGCCCCAACTAATATCTTACAATGTGAACTCCAAAACCTGACTCTCTGAGCCACCCACTGAGCCTAACGTCCCCAGATGGGACATGCCTCTAAATTGAGGAATTGCTTGTTGGGGGATTACTCTTAAAATGCCTGGGTTAAGTGGGAAGGTAGGAGGGACTAGGGTGATAGGCATTTGTCACCAGCAGATTTGACAGCTCTCAAAACTTTTATTGTAAGGGCACATGGATGAACAGTATGGGAGCAGATTCTGGGATTACTTTGACAATGAGGCAAGGGAAATTGAGGTGGGAGATGGGGATACAGTCAGGATTTGGAAATGAGGGCCTATCAGAGGGGTTTGGAGTCTTGCTGCTCAAAGTGTGGGTCATTGGTATCATCTGGGAGCTCATTAGAGATGCAGAATCTCAGATCTCCACTCCAGACCTACAGAATCAGAATCTTCACCTTTAACAAGATTTCCAGGGAATGCATAGGCTCAGGAAAGATTGAGAAGCGTCACTGCTCCAGGGACCAGTAAGGACACCTTTCTTCATGGGAATTCCCCACTGCTGTGTGACTCAGGTGGGTCCTCTTTCCTCAGCATACCAGGCGGCTTTATCCCTGGGCCAGGACCCATCCAACGACTGCAATGACAGCCAGCGGGAGGTTCGCATCGTGGCCCAGAGGCGGGGGCAGAATGAGCCTGTGCTGGGGGTGGATTACCGGCAGCGCAAGATCACCATCCAGAACCGTGAGTGTGGAGGAGGCAGCAGGGAACTGGGGGAGTGGAGAGATGTGCAGACACCGGGCCCAGGAGGCTGAGTCATTGTGGGGATTTCCCTTTTTTTTTTCTCCCTGCTGCCTGATGGTCTGCTTGGTCACTTTCATTGTTTGAGGAAAGTGCCAGATGCACAGAATGCGCTACACTGTCTGAAGTCACTGCCCTGGAAGTTGGTCTCTGGACAAGAGGGTGTCCTACAGCTTTGGCTAAAGATCTGGAAGTGGATGGTTTCCTTTACTTCCCTGATACTCAGGGCTAAGGTGTGGCTCAGGTTCCCTTGATTCCTTCCACAAATTGTTCTGAGGCCCTGACAGAACCCCAGATCCCCGAGTTCCCCTCTGGCTACTCCTGTTGCCCAAATCTAAGGAAACAGGAGCTTCCAAGTAGATGGCCACCTTGAGACCATCACTCTTCATTGGTAGAAGAAAGAGCATTGGGCTTAGACTCAAAAGATGGGGGTCAGGATCCCCATGCTCCCACTCCCTTGCTTAGTGACCAGCGGCAGACCAGTTGTCTTCTCTGGCCACTGCTTCTACATCTGAAAGATGGGCATAAAGGTCTCTGTCTCCCACACTGAAGTGAATATCAAACGTGATATCTGCGAGCCATGCCTGAAGCGTGCCGACTCTCTGTGGGAGCACAGGGAGCGGTGGTCAGCCCCGGTCTGGAGCTAGACTCAGGTGTAGGTCCCCGCTCTGCACCGACAGGGGGTGTGAACTTGGGCAAGCCCCTTCCATGTTTTCAGCCTCAATTTCTGTAAGACGGGACTTGCCCTAGTACCTATCTCGTGGAGAGTTGTCAGGATTGAGATGATGTGTGTAAAGCACTCAGTGAGCAGTAAGTGGGCAGGGAACTTAAGTTGTGATCACTCAGCACCCCTGGGATGGATGGGTTAGGGCCCCACATTCCTGCCTTGTAACCCAGGACTGCTGCGGTGGGTTACTGGCACAAAATTCAGAGCCTATTTCAGTGAGCTTTATGTGCTGGTTAAATAAAAAACTGAAAAAAGCGGGGTGGGGAACACCCAGTAGGCCATCCAGGGAACCAGTAGCAACAATGTGAGGAAATCAATGCATATTCTATGATTGTTCAGAGGTAGATCATCCCACCTTACAAATTACTTCCAACTTTGTGTATAATACTTTGGCTGTTAAGTCTGATCCTTTTACATTCAACCTCTGATTTTCCCAAGCCTGTCCTTGAACTCTCGGCCTTAGGGAACATCTATCCTTTTCCAATCTCTAGGTGTATCCTCAGAGATTCAGGGTGGCTCTATTTTCTCCAGAGCCTGCAGAATTAGCTCTGATTGACCCCAAAGTTTAAAGTCTCTTTAATTAGCAAGTCTCCCTTACAGTTTTTGAAGGATTAAAGTCCCCACACGTGACAGTCCTGATTTTCTGTCTTCTAATTTTGAATAGCACTGCTTACTACCTCCACTCCTAACCGCCTTTGGGTCAAACTCTGCCGCCTTTTCACTCCCATGGGAAAGTGGTATTCCCCTCAGTTTTAATTCCTACCTCCAGGCTCACTGTAACTTCTTAGAGCCCTTGTTTTCTGATATTTTTATGCCCTTGCTTGCATCATTTGAGATGACCCTGTCAAATCAGTTCTTGGATCATTTAAACTATTAACATATCTGATATCCCTAAAGTAATTTTTTTGTCTCTAATAAAAATTGGGTCGGATTTATAATACACATTAACCTTAGGGGGAAATTCCTCCAAAAGCACTTTCACCATTCTTCCAAGTCTGGGGTAAGCTTGTTTCTGGGAAGGGCAGTGGGTTTGGAAAAAATCATAGGGATTGACGTAGAAAGAGAAGAAACAGAAGTCGAAGTTAGCTCCAGTGGTGCATGACCTCGTGTGTTTGTTTCATTTCCTCAATAAATATTTCTTGACAAACAGATAGTAAAGAATTGCAGCTACGACTGCCAACTAAGCAGGAGCAATTCTACAATGCTACGGTCTTTAAGAATTTAAAGGTGTTCCCTGGTCCTTACTGTGGTCAAAGTAGCAGGGACGTGGGGCTACCCTGATGCCTCTGACTGGACTTTAAGCCCTTTCAGGACAAAGACGGGTCTTACTTGATCTTCCACAAGAGTCTGACATAGTGCTGAACCCACAAAAGTTCTTTAGTGAGCATTTATTGCATTTACTAAGCGTGAACATAACATTCCTCTATCTTAATGGGGTAGCACAGCACTTGGTGCTCACAAGAACTGAAATTCTTTTCCTGAGTAACATTTACTCATAAAATATTGGCATTTCACCCTGACTCAAGTTCATCTTATAATCTGTCCCTTCAAGATTCAGAAGTATGTGTTCACAACTGGTGAGGAATCCAGGCTGTGGAGTTTTCCACTCAGCTTGGGGAGGACAGTAGAGCTTAGTGGTTAAGGGCACCAGGTTTGAGGCATAGACATGAGTTTGAACCTACCTCTGCTGCCTACCTCTCTCTGTTCTAGCTTCCTCTTGTCTTGGTTTCCTCATCTGAAATGCAGCTAATAGTCCTACCCACTGGATCAGGATTAAATTTGATTGTGAGTAAGCAAAAGCCTAAAATATTAGTGGCTTAAACAATAAAGAACCTTATTACTCCTCATGTATAAATTTGGAGGTAGACAGACTGGAACTAGTGTGGTGGCCCTGTTTCATTAAGTTCTCAGGGACCCACGCTCCTTCCAGCTCACCAAGAAAGAAGGTCATCTTCCTCATGGTCCAAGATGGCAGCCAGCACATCTGCCTCCCAGATAACAGAGTGGAAGAAGAGGTAAAGAAGCAAAGGGCAAAGGAGTTCCCACACTGTTTTTAAGAAAGTTTCTGAGAACCAACCTGTGACACATCTGCTTACATTCTGTCTGCCAGAACTGAGTCACATGTCCATGTCCGTCTGTAAGAGAGGAAGGGAAATACTGACTTTATTCTGGACGGCCAGGTACATGACCAGAATTCTGTGACCATGAGAGAAAGGAAGAGTAGACACTGGGAGACAGCTGGAAATCTCTGCATCACCACTTAGGGAGTCATGGTGGGAAGTAGTGAGGTGCCACATCTCGAATCTTTTCAAGGTACCTAATAGGGCTCAGTGAATGGTCAATTCTATCACCATTATATCATTTGGAGAAAGAAGAGGGTCTCAAAAGAAGGAATTGAGGCCTTTCTCTGAACTACAAGAGGCCCTCTTAGGATGTGGAAGTATAACGCTGGGGTCTGGAAGCTACCATAGGTCAGAAACGATGTGCCCTCTCTTTTAACCACTGGGTCTCTCCCCTTCCTCCTTGCAGGAGCAGATCTTGTGATTAATGAAGTGATGTGGTGGGACCATGGAGTATATTATTGCACCATTGAGGCTCCAGGGGACACGTCAGGAGACCCAGATAAGGAAGTGAAGCTCATTGTCCTGCGTAAGTTCTTCTGGAGCTTTTTCTTTTGCCACCCCACTATGACACTTCTATGTACAGAAAAAAAAACAAACAAAACAGAAACAGAAACAAGAAAACCTAGGCTATTGTTGTCAACTGCCAAACTCTGGAGTTCTCTTACCAAAGCTAAACTCTTTTTTTTTTTTGGCCTGTATATTGCCCAGCCTTAACCTGTAGCTCAAGAGCTTCTGTGTTAGACCTCCAGAATGCTCCAGGCTGAAGCATGCCCCTGCACATGTAGTTCAACCCCTGCTCGGCTTCTCCGCTGCAGACTGGCTGACGGTGATCTTCATCATCCTGGGAGCCCTCCTCCTGCTGCTGCTGATTGGGGTGTGCTGGTGCCAGTGCTGCCCTCAATATTGCTGCTGCTACATCCGCTGCCCCTGCTGTCCCACCCGCTGCTGCTGCCCCGAGGAAGGTGAGAGGGGACGAACGGGCCGAGGGATGGGGTGGTGCAGGAGCCTGCGCCCCAAACGGATCAGTTTCACATGCCCAGCTCAGAACCTCGGGTTCTTCCAGGTTCTCCTCCATGCCCTTCTCCCATCACAGGCCTAGAGGTCTTTGGCCTCAGACCACAAAATGATGCTCATGGAAGCTGTAGAGCCAAGGGGAGGACTTCTGTCCTTTCACATCCTAGCCTGCCTGAGGCCTTCTTCAGATGGCTCTGCACACCTCTGGCCTTTCCTCAGCAGCCCTGATACACCTGTGCTCCGGTATTTGCTACCAGCACTGACCTTGCTTGGACATGAGGTGGCTGGAGGGAGTGGTTTGCATGTAGCAGTGAAAGATAAGTCCACTCCTTAGAGATGACTGGAAAAGAACAGATGGGCAAAGAGAGGTGTTGGAGTGGGGGTTCTCAAACTTAAGCATGTCCAGAGATTCTGATTTCACCAGTCTTGGGGGAAGGGGCTGAGAATTTGTACTTCTCAGGTGATGCAATGCTGCTGGTCTGGGGGAACCCTTTGAGAACCTCTGTTTTAGACAAAGGAAAGAGGGGGCAGAAGATCTTGCTCTAACATGATCTGTCTTTGAGCTGAAATTTGACCTTATAAAACAGAATTATGACATGTCCTAAAAAATGTGGCTGCAGAATGCATGGTGAGGGCAAAAGAATAAAAATTACTCTACAAAGATCTTTTCTTACTAAATAGATGGAGCAGAGTCAATAGCTTTAAATGGAAGGATTTTTTGTGTGTTTAAAATGATTTTTTGTGTGTTTAAATAATATTTCCCTTTCCTGATGATGTAAGTAAAGTGTTACATTGTGTAACATTTGAGAAATTCAGGAAAATGTAAAGACTAAATCTGAGCACCCAGATATAAGCACTCTTATTATTTTGGTCCATTTGAAAGGAAATTTTTTAAAACAAAAAATAAGAAATTGGCTCTTAAGATAGAAACAAAATCTAATCTACAATGTCAGGTGGGTCAGTGGTCTGAGTCTGGTTTCAGGCCTATGTTCTGAGGTTGCTGTGTTACAGGAAAAGAGAACTAACTTTTATTGGATGTCCGCTGTGTGTGGGCCCTTTGCATATATTTCCCTTTTGAATCCTCACAACCCTAGAAGGCAGGTATCATCATTACTTAACAATGAGGAGACTGAAGGTCAGAGGAATCACACAGCTGGTAAGTAGCAGAAGCAGTGCGGTGTTGCATTCATGTGACTTACAAGTGCCTGAATTTCCCACCAGAGAGGCTGCCACAACCTCTGTGGGTAGGTCACTGTGGGACTGGCTGAGATAGCAGTGAACTCCTTAAAGAGACAGAAAACAGCAGAGAACTCAGCATCAGGCCAGGGAGCTCTCTACTTTTCCGGGGCCTCTGGGAGAGCAGCCGGGGGAAGCCACTGTCACTGGAGTAGTAATATGCAGACTGAGATGAGAAAAACCCTCCCAAGATACCTTCTGAGAACCCCTAGGTCAGCGGAGCCCTCAGAATAGGCAGCATTAGGGATAAAGTCAGCACAAACAATAAACGTATCCACTGTCAGTAAAGCTGAAAAACAGGTTCTGGGAGAAAGTGGTTTCTCCTAAGTGGTTAGAGTTCTTTTAGGAGAACTGGTAAGATGAAGAACTGGTAAGTAGGCCACAAATAAAGATCCCTGAACTTGAGCAGATGAGATCACTTTCAAAGTGAGTCACTTGAGGAGACTGTCCTGAGAAATTGGGTGACAAGAGGAGATTACACAGAGCGGGCAGAAGTTGTAAAGGAAAGTGCTTGGATGGGGAAGAAGGTGAGTGTATATGATTGTTGATTTTTTTTTTTGGAATAAGGTAACCCTAAGCATATTTGTGGACAAAGAACCAAGGCCAATAGGAGAGAGAAGTGAAGCATTATGAGTGAGGTGATGACTGAGGAGAGATGGAGCCAGTGGGAGTGACATCAGGCTTGCAGTGAAAGGACTGCCTTTAAAAAGAAAGGAAAAGGAAGCCTGACCTCTGCCAAGGAAAGAGAGGAAGTTGTTAAAATGTGGAAGATGATTTAAGTATGAGGAAAGAGACTGTGGGAGTGAGCTCACACTGGCCTGTCTCTGTTTCAGCAAATCAAAATTCTAGGTGCAAAGGGCAGCTTCGAGGATGTCAGTGGTTCTTGAACTTTCATGATCACAGCCCACCTCCCAGCCTTCTCCCACTTTCCAGTGAGAGTTAATAGAGGACCAGAGGAGAGAAGAATGAATATGACACCAAATTTTAGTAGCCTTGATAATTCGCTTAATACTAGTAGACAACCTGCAGTAGAACTCCAAGATGAAAGTTATTGACACTGAACCTTATCTTTTTTGTGAGAACTGGAGAGACAACTTCCATCCCTAGGTCAGTTGCTGGCTCTCCGCCCAACAGAACCTCTGGGCACACCCTGCAGTGGGCCTCAGGCCACAGGGAGAATGTCTGACCTACACCACCCACCTCCCCAACTCCTCACCTGAGGGAAGTGAGACCTCCAGAGGTTTTTCCGCAGTGCACAGCTTGTTAGTGAGCCCTGGACTAGACCTAGAGCTCTTGACTCCATGTCCAGGGCTGGTTCGTCTTCCCCAACAAAGATATGCCATCAGTTCATAGGGAGGGGAAGACATGAGAAGTGGGGAATGTCTACACTGGTCACCAGATCAGTCAAGGAAAGGCACATTGGGAGAACGAGGGTGGCTGCCTGCCTGTGCAGCCAGTGTCGTTCCAGGAAGCATTAGCTGGTGGTTCTCTAAAGCTGAAATGGCAAGAGTTCAAGGGACATGAGATTCTAGGATGCTCCTAAGGATGTCACTGAAAGGACCGACAGTAAAGTCAGCAGGGACTACTACTATATGTAAAAAATCAAAAGAACTGTGACCATGGGTCAGAGAGGGCAAGGACACTCTGTAGGAGAGGAGAGGGGGTGGTAAGGAATGGTAGGAAGTTGGTGCCCACAGATGATGCTGGCTGCAGGGGAGGAGAGGCGCGGGTCTCTGGAGGAAGGGAGGTGTTGAGTGTTATTTCACGAAGGGCACATCTTGAAGAACATCCCCCAAATTTTCCTCAGAAATGAGGATAAATATGCTTTTGGTGGTTTAGTCTCCAAATGTGTATGTTTTGTCTGCTGTGGGATCTAAGGTGAAGCAATTATTTTAATAATTTATTAAAACAGTGAGAGCCACCACCTATTGACTGTCCTGTATGAGGCATTTCATGTGTATTACCGCATTTAACTTCAGCCACCTTCTGAAATAGGTGTTATTATCCCCAGCTCCTAGATGAGGAGACTGGGCTCAGACACTCTGGAAATTCACTCAAAATTACCCAGATAATTTGAAGTCCATGTGACCCTCAAAGCCTGTGTGTAAGGAAACTCATCCCTGATGACTGTAATTCTCAGAACGTTGTTGCGAATCCACAACAGTCAATTCCAGTTTTACTCCCTGCATAGAAGTCAGGGTGCTTGTTGAAAACATGGATTTTCACATGTGGTATTAGATTGAAGGCCAGTCTGGGAGTGGGATCCAGGAGTCTGTATATTTAAGTAGCTCGTTAAAGGTGACCAAGGCAGACTACCTCACGGTGGTTCAGAGGTAACTTATTAGGAATCTTTTGATGCTTTGTTCATTTCTCCATGTTTCTTATTTTATTGCCTGTCTGAGTCCCCATTAGGTGAACAACAGAAACCCCTGATGGTCTAGACTTCCCACAGAGCTGTTTACAGGGACAAGAGGGCAAGAGAGAAGCTCAGATGCTTTATTTTTCTATTCCCATCTCATCAGTTCTAGTCCATCAGGGAAGGGAGGGGCCCTGGGAAAGTTTTGTGGCAGCTAAGAAGGGAGCAGGTGGGTTAATCTTGGAAGTGCATAAAAATTTGACAAGAGAGCTCATAATGGATCTGGAAGGGTCTCTAGGGAGTCATCTGTGCAGGGGGTCCCATTAATTTAAAAGTTATTTGGGGAGCAAGGAGTAAGCCCAACTTTCCCTTTCTCTCGTATTGAATTGGGGCAGTTGGAGTAGGAAGTGGCCAAAAGCGGGAATGGTACCATCTAGAGGAAACCAGGATTCAGTTAGAGGGGTTGGGGGTGGGTAGGGTTGTCCCAGTGGAACCAGATCTTGGCAGGTCTTGGCAGCAGAGGTTAGTCTGGAGTGGGTTTTGAAAGATGTGGTGCTGAGGGAAAGAAATGAAGTGAGGAGGTACCACTGGGGAAGGTTTTTTGGGTTTTGGTTTTTCGCTTTATCACATAAATAAAGGAGTCTGGGGACTCTGTGGTTTTGCAGAAAGACTACAGGCTTGGGCGTCAGACAGACACAGGGTCACACGCTGCCTCTGCCAGTCACCAGTTGTAGGACGTTGGGTCGGGAAGGTAGCCTCTCTAAGCCTAACTTCCTCATCTGATTCTCATATTAAGAGATTTCTCTGAGGATTAGTTAGCTCCTGTGAAGTGACTGGCACATGCTAAGCAGGGCCTTATGTGTGCTGAAGGCAGCATGTGTAGAGAGCTGGGGGAGGCATCTGTTAGCAAGAGGGAGAGGAAAGAGCCGGGCGAGTGGACTTGTCTGCAGAGGGCCTGGAGTACTGTCCGTTGGCATGAGGGTGTGGCAGCTGAGTGAGCTGCTCTAAGTTTGCATCTGATTTCCTCTGGGCTGGGCTGTGACTCACCATCAGGGCTGGAGCTCCAGACATTTCTGGGGGCTTGGCTGCAACCACTTCCTGTTGTGCTGGAAGTTGGTCTCATACTGGAGCCACTGGGTAGCCTTCCAGATGGCCCTCTAGCTGCTGGCCTCAGCAAATCCCCTACCCTATGCAGCTGGGTCCAGAGTGCCTGTCTTCTGCCCCCTCCTACAGTGGCAGGAGGCAGCCTCTGGCAGAGCCTTGCTACTTTAGGGATGGCCACAGGGCTTGAGGAACCCAGGAGGAGTGAGAGTGCCAGGCTGGGGGCACCTAGGGGACTGGAGAAACATGTCTATGGATCCCTTGTGCTGCTTTTTCATATCATTTTCTTTGCCCTGAAAGGAAATGGTATTTCTCTTCTCCCTTCTCTGCCTCTACCCCACCCCTGAGAGTCCCCCTACTTAGGGAAAACCCCAGTACTTAGTAAAGTGAGGAGAAGAGCAGAGAGGATCCACTTCAGCTTTTTGCATTCTCTGCCTACTTCCCCCTGGTTTTCTCCCACCCAGGGCTGGCATTACCAGCTAGAAGAGTTCCTCAGTCCCTCTCTCTTTACCAGTAATTCGGCCTATTGACCTCAGCATCCCTCTTGTTTTCTTTTTCCACTTTGAGCAGGCGGTCCTGAGCTTCTCTGGCTGCCCCTGACTCACAGCCTCCTCCAAGCCCTTTGCATCTGTACCTTCTCTATTTGGCCTGCTGCCTGAAATTTTCATTGCCTGCTAATGTCTATGTGTCTACCTATACATTTTAGGTGACTTAGGGGATGAGCAGGATGATGAAATGTTTTCAAGACTAGGAAGCCAAGCTTTAAGAGTGTATTTTCCTAGGGTGCAGGAGTTGCATCTTGCTTACGGAATTTATTCCCAGCTCCTTCCCAGGGGAACAGTTGATTCACTACTTCCCTTAACTCTGACTCCCAGGCAAGAGAAGTCACAGTAAAACTGGAGGAGAGAAAGTGGCCTCTTGGTAAGGCTGCTAGGTGGAGAGAAGTGAAGTGGGAGGTGTGGGCCTTGCCGTGGCTGAGGGTCTGCATTTCTCCTTTTCCCCCCTGCAGCCCTGGCCCGCCACCGCTACATGAAGCAGGCTCAGGCGCTAGGCCCTCAGATGGTGGAAAAACCCCTGTACTGGGGGGCGGACAGGAGCTCCCCGTTTTCATCTTATCCAATGAACGCACTGCTGCAGCGAGGTAAACCTTGCTAGAGATTTGGGGTGGGAGAGGGCAAAGGGCAAGGGTAGAAGCATGGGCTGCATCGGGACCTTCATGACCAATATGATGTGCATCTTTATGACTGATGATGGGAGGGGGTGTATGCAAGCCAAATAAGGTGGCATTTTGGTGCCCTGATTCTGAGGAGCGTGTTTTAGGCCAGAAGTTCTGCATGTTCTTATCCTTATTTTCATTCAGATTTGTCCCTGCGATCCAGCCTCCCAGAGATGCCGATGACCCAGACCACTGCTCGCCCTCCCATCACCAATGGTGTCCTAGAGTATTTGGAGAAAGAGCTGCGGAACCTCAACCCAGCCCAGCCTCTGCCCCATGACCTCCAAGCCAGATCTGGCCATCCTTGCAGCATGCTGTCCTCCCTGGGGTCTGAGGTCGTGGAACGCAGAATCATCCACCTGCCTCCGCTCATCAGAGACCTGCCATCTTCGCGGAGGACCAGCAACTCCTCCCGCCAGCAGTGGCTCCCCTCGCCTTCCCCTGGACCCTGGGATCTGAGAGGGGGGAGGAGGCAGCACCACTACTCTGATTTCCACCGGGAGTTTCAGGACCGGGAGCCCAAGCGCTGGGCGTTGGAGCAAAGGGAGCTGGACCAGCCGCGGCGTGGAAGGCACCGCGGCTCCAGGCGGCGCGGGTCACCCACGCCCTGGTTGGACAGGGACAGCCTCAGCGACGGCTCCTTGTCCAGTGAGGCCCGCTGGCGGCCCAACCGCCCCCCTCTCCGGAGCCGCTACCTAGAGAGAGCCCGCAGGCCCAGCCCTCGGGGGAGCGCCCAGGGGCACCCAAGGCGCAGGAACCGCAGCTACTCCCCGCCCCCGCCCTCGGGCCTCAGTTCTTGGAGCTGGAGCTCGGAGGAGGAGGAGAAGGCGAGGCAGCCCCGGAACCGGGGGGCCCGCCGCCGCCGCTCGCGATCGCCAAACTGGCCTGAAGAGAAGCCACCCAGCTACCGCTCACTGGATGTCTCCCCAGGCAAGGATGGCAGGAAAAAGGGGAGTGTGGAGAGGCGCTCGGTGAGCCTGGGGCATCCTGCTGAGGGTCGGGCGTGGGCGGAAAGGACACTTGAACCAGGCTGACACAGGCCAGCTCACTTGCCGCCTCTGCAGAGGGTCCCTCCTCCTCCTTTGCAGGCTGGCCCCGTGGGCTTGGTGAGACGCCTCCTGTAGAGCCAGAAGGGAACCAGGGGTGCCGAGGGCGGAGGAGCAGCTCAGGGCTTGATGCTTAAGAAGTGCTTTCTCACCCTCCAGCTCACCCCAGCCCTCATCAAAGTCCCCAGAGGCCAGTCGGGCAGGGTCACCCCATTTCACGGGTGAGGAAACCAGGCTCAGAAAAATTTAAGCACCTTGTGAGTAGTGAGCTGGGACTCAGCGGGTCTTCGCGGCTAAGGCGCTACTTCCTGTCTTAGCTGCTTTGCTTTTCTTAGCAGCAATTTCCATACCCCAGATTAGAACACCCCCTGACAGGACATTCGTGCCACTTCTCGGCGCTGCAAGTCAGTGTGCAAGGGCCTGTTGTATTAAAGGACGAGGCCCCCCACCCCAGAAAGTATCGTTAAAGTGATTTAGAAAACAAACAAACAAACAAACAACCCCACAAAAAAAAACAAACCCTGCTATCCCAAATATGGGTCAAAACTAGAATTCTGTGAACAGGCAAGGTGCCAGTGTCAGAACTTATAAGCTTGAAAGGGGCATGAAGAAGGATGTAGTTCTTTTGGGCCTCTGAATATAGGCCTTTTTTCCTTTTAAGATGTGATTTTAAAAAATCATCTTGTAATTAATATACCCCCAAAATGGTATTCCTTCTGTGTTTTCACTTTGCAAAGTTATGCTGGCCATTGCTCAAAAATATTCATGAACTGCCTTCAGAACCAACTTACAAGCTACCCACTAAAATCTGTTTCTCTGACAAAAGAAAATTTTTCTGTTTTGCTTCTGTTGAGATAAAGGGATATGTAGTAGGTTCTGAGGGAAGTTCCCAGCATAGAGCGGTATCAGAGGAACAGGAATTTTAATCTCTCACACGCTTTGAAGGACACAGCTCTCATTTGGAAATGTAAGTTCTGCTGTGATTTGTTTTAAAACGAATCCCCTGGATAGTGTGTGCAAAGAAACAGGCATCTTATGAAAGCCCCAGTTCTGGTCTTTCTAGGGAAGAACCTTGGTGAGAGTGGTTCGTGAGGAAGATAAACAAGGCCCACAGGCGTTTCTGAAATAATCAATGGCAATTATATTCTCACAGATGTCCCATGAGAGAGGCAAAGACCAGTAATAATGAAACCTGGTAGTATCCTTACTAAGTGGTGCTGAGCCGTGGACATTTATGCAACGTCTTATTTAATCCTTTCAGCACCCTATGAGGTTTACACTATTACGTTCATTTTACAGTGGATACCTCTCTTTCTTCCATGTTACCAGTAAGAAAATTACATCCTGAAAGAAAATACAGAATTAACCAGAGACAGGACAGCCGCTGTTACTTTGGTTATATGGTGACTACATAGTCTCTTATCTTCATTTTTAACAGAAAAATGTAATTTAAAAGCCAGCTTTTGGCCTCAAATCCAAACCCTATTTTCTTGTAAATCTTTTCTTTATAGTCTTCTAAATTAAATTATGTGATTTCTTGTAAGTGAGAGTAGGGAACACCAGTTATGTTCTGGATGCTGGGATAAGCCCTTTCTAAGCCTTATTTCATTCCTTCCTTGAAACAGCCCTGTGAGGCTCAGTGAGGTTAAGTAACATGCCCAAGGTCACACAGCCATTAGGGAATGAAGCCAGAATCTGAACAAAGCCCTCTGACTCTCAAGCCTATGCCCTTTTCAGTAACTCATGCTGCCTCATTAGAGAGAAGAAAATCACGTGGGGAAATGATGTTTTCTTGTGACTTTATTTCTTCTTTATTTTCTGAAACTATTATAATTTCCTTTGTCATCAAGTTGTACCCACCCATAATTCTATCACAAGCAAACCAAATTTTCTATTATAAAGTTGCTTGTGAGAGGCAGTTTCACTTAAGATAATTTTAAAGGCCTTCGTTGTTTTGGATCTCTGAGCTTATCTCCAAAAGAGTTATCACTTTATCACATTCAGCTGTCCACTCATATTCTAAGTGACCAGCGGCCCAGGACCAAAGCTTGATTTGGAAGATTGATTTGTTTGAAGGGCATCCTGCTTCATTTGTAATTTGAACTTTGAATGCCTTTAGTGAGCTCAAAATCACACTCCTTGCTCCTCTCCTTGGTGGGGCTGGATGCTTTCCACACACCTTCCTAGCCTCTGAAATCTTTGGAGCTTGTAGCTAACTGTAGAAGTTATAATACAATTGGGCCACTAGATGGTGATCTTTGATTATGTATAACTTGAAGTTTCTCTATTTGAATTGGTAAGATGTATCACTATTTTCTTAAATCAAACTTTCAATAGTTACAGCTTTACAGTAAGTGTTTACAAAATACTTATTAAAATACTTTATTAAATATTTAGAGTATTTATCAATTAATAAAAAATCTTTTGGCTCACATGAAATCTTCTCTCTCAAGAGTAATGTTTAACAAGTAGACACCAAAAGACAAGGCCTTCCATGTAAATAATCTCATGGGAATTGAATTAGGTAAGGAGTATTCTCTGCCCAGTGCCCACGAGAAAAGGGAGGTTGTGTTGAGGCATCTCCCATTTGACTCCAGAACAAGGACTCCAGCTGAGATCTCACTGTGAGTCTGGTGGTCTTTTCATTCCACCAAAGACTACAACCTCAGAAATATAAGCAATGATAGCAAGCTTTAAACTCCAGCTGTTTCAGACTGAGTTCCTGTGTTCCTGGTCTCCTTCAAATTGATTCTTTTTCTCTCCGATCTTGTTCTATCAGAAAGGGCTTCCCAGGGCATTTCTGATTTGTGCCAAACTTGGCCTGTGCACACCTCTTCTAATACAAGAGAAAACTACTGCATTCTTTCCTTTCCAAGCTAAACTGAAACTTTCTGTAGAGAATCTAAGTTTTTTTTTCTTTTTTCTTGACTTTTAATTTAATAAGTTTTTTTTTACGTTGGGATGCTTTCTTCTACTTTTAATAAAATGTCTATTCTTTCATGTCTTTTCTTAGAAACCCCTGTTCCTTTTGCCCCATTTTGTTGCTTTCCTTTGTGGCAGAGAGCATTCATTCAACATTTCTTTCCGAGAAAAACTTTTTACTGAGTATAGTTGATTTTCAGTGTTTCAGTTGTATAGCAAAGTGATTTAGTTATATATATATATATATTTTTTCCATTTCAGATTGTTATCCTTGTAATTTATAGGTTATTACAAGATATTGAATATAGTCCCCTGTGCTATACAGCAGGTCCTTGTTGTTTATCTGTATAGTAGTATAATGTCTGTTAATCCCAAGTTCCTAATTTATCCTTCCCCCCACCTTCCCGTTTGGTAACCATAAGTTTGTTTTCTATGTCTGTGACTCTATTTTTGTTTTTTAAGTAAGTTCACTTGTATTATTTTATAGATTCCACATGTAAGTGATATCATGTGATATTTATCTTTCTCTGTCTTACTTCAATAGTATGATAATCTCTAGGTCCACGCATATTGCTGCAAATGGCATTGTTTCATTTTATGGCTGAGTAGTATTCCATTATATATATATATATATATATATATATATATATATATATACACATACATACACACACCCCACATCCTCTTGATCCATTCATCTGTCAGTGGACATTTAGGTGCTTCAGTGTCTTGGCTTTTGTAAATAATGCTGCTGTGAACATTGGGAAGCATGTATCTTTTTTGAATTGGAGTTTTTTCTGGATATATGCCCAAGAGTGGGATTGCTGGATCATATGGCAGTTCTATTTTTAGTTTTTTGAGGAACAGCCATACTGTTTTCCATAGTGGCTGTACCAATTTACATTCCCACCAACAGTGTAGGAGGATTCCTTTTTTCTCCACACCCTCTCCAGCGTTTATTATTTGTAGACTTTTTGATGATGGCCATTTTGACTGGTGTGAGGTGATACCTCATTGTGGCTTTGATTTACATTTCTCTAATAGCGCTGTTGAGCATCTTTTCATGTGCCTGTTGACCATTTGTATACCTTTTTTTGAGAAATGTCTATTTAGATCATTTGCCCCTTTTTTTATTGAGCTGTTTAAGTGGTTTGTATATTTTGGAAATTAATCCCTTATTGGTCACATTGTTTGCAAATATTTTCTCCCATTCTGTAGGTTGTCTTTTCATTTTTCTTATGGTTTCTTTTGCTATGCAAAAGCTTTTAAGTTTAATTAGGTCCCATTTGTTTATTTTTGCTTTTGCTTCCATTAGTCTATGACACAGATCCAAAAAAATATTGCTGCAATTTATGTCAAAGAATGTTCTGCCCATGTGTTCCTCCAGGAGTTTTAGAGTATCCAG